AAAGAGAGGAAGGTGAAAGACAGGAGCTGGCAACAGAGGCTTCTCTAACGTTCTAGAAAATTCCACTTGGTCTATGTAAAAGCAGAAAGCAGGCGGGGCGTGGTGGCACACACCTTTGGTCCCAGCACTGGGGAGGCAGAGGCAGGCGGATCTCTGTGAGTTCAAGGCCAGCCTGGTCTACATAGTGAGTTCCAGGCCAGCTGGGGCTACAGGGAAACCCTGTCTCAAAAAGACCAAAAAGGAGAAAAAAACAGAAAGCAGTTCAGTGGCCAACTGGGGAGGCTGGGGGCTAAGGAGGACCACAGAGGGGTTCTGGGGAACCAGCAAGTGGGGGACACAAGGTCCCCACTGGATGGTAGCTATGGTTTTATGTAAAGCTCACAGAATTGTGTGATCTGAACACTGCAGACAGTGTGTGTGTTCAGGATACCTGAATAAGCTGAGGAGACAGAAATTCCTGCTCTGAGACCCTGGGCGAGCTCCTCCTCTTCTCTGAGCCTGGTTTATGGGACGGGCCTGAGGAGGGACTCAAGCTTTCTGACAAGGATTCATCAGAAAGATGCTCTGCTCCACCCAGAAGCTGCTGCTGCCCATAGAGGACCAGAGGGCTGTGACACCCACTTGTCCCTGGCAAGACTGAAAGATCTGTCCTGCCTCAGGCTGGCCCCCCTCACTTCCCCATGCCTTTGGATTGAGAAGGGGCACTGTGCCAGGCTTCCTCTCCTTCTTCCTGGGCCCAGTGGCTTCCTGGGTGAACAAGTGAGGGACAAATTCTGACTCCTCCCTCAAGGGAGTCTATTCAGATACAGCATGGGGAGGAGAGGTCCAGGCATGTGCAAAGGGCCTGTGACTGGGAGAGTGTGGGATCTCCTAGAGTGAGAGTGACTAGTGGACTGAGGTAGGAACTGGCCCAGTGCCTTCTAGCCTAGTCCCTGTGGGGATGTGTCTGTGTACCCCTTGGCAGTTCTGCTCTGCACAAGGGCCTAGCCCCTGGGTGTGGTTTGTAGGAGTCTGTGCCCTCTGTTCCACCTAGCTATAAAGCCCAGTTTGTTCCTTACCTCTGCTTGCTTCCCCTGAGCCTCAAAGACCCTATCTGCTAAATGGGGTCATGCCCCCTCCTGGGGCCAGGCAGAGCTCACTGGTGGGGCCTAGGCTCTTCCTTGGTCCTTTGTTTTACCCAAATGCCCAGGAGCAGGGGGTGGGTAGGGATGCCCCGTTCCTCTGAGCCTCTGCACCTAGAACAGATCAGGCATCCAGAGCTATCTGGCAGACAAAGCCCCTGCCTTTGCAACCAACAGGTGTAACCCAAGTGGGCCTCAGCAGGCCTGTGGCCTCCTCCCTAACCCCTGGACTTCTTGTCCCAGGCTGCCTAGAAAGTTCAGAGCACACGGGGCTGTTCCTTGCCTTTCTGAGGTGGGATTGGTTCTTCGTGTTGACGTTTCAGTGGGCAGCTGGGCCAGATGGGTTCTCACCCTCTGCTCACCTGTGTCTGCTGGAGGAAGCCCCAGACGCTCCTCCCAGTTACATTCTGGGACCAGACTCACAAGGGAACAAACATCCACGTTTTGGCAGGTAGGAAAAATAAGGGGTAAGTAGAGATTCAACAGTGGTTGTGGAGACAGAGAGTTCTGGTCACCCTGCACATTGCCTTCTTCTAAACTCCGTTCCCAATCAGGGCGGCATTGTGGGAAGGGAGCCTGGGCAGGAGAGAGCCAGAAGCCACAGCTCTGATCTGCCTTGGGAAGGGGCCGTATTGAGCTGGAAGGAGACCACTGAGCCAACCTGTCAAAGCCAGGCAGCAGGAAAGACTCTAAGAGAGGTCTAGCCTGAGGTGCAAAGGAGAGGGTACTATGGTATCCCTGGGATGGGCACATAGCATGTGCAAAGGCCCAGGGGTAAGAAGACAATAGAGCAAAGTAGGTTGATTGAAAGTGGTATCTGGGCAAAAGCCAGTGTGGTTCGGCCGTTCTGGCCTTGTAGACATGTTGTTTTCAATGTTCTGCTGGGAGCGATGGGGAGCCAGGGAAGGTTTTAGGTAGGAGGTACAGTAGAAGCGCTTTCCAGAAAGATCTCTCACTGTCATGAGGAAAAGGAACTGTAGGGGCAAATGTGGATATAGAGGACTCATCTAGGAGGTCCTGGGAGGTAATGGGACTGGAACAGGGTGGCAGGGGTAGGGGGCAGTGGACAAGAGGGACTTGGATTTGACTGCATTAGTGGGTGGGGAAGGGAAAGAGGGTGGTAAAGATGGGCACCATCTCCAAGCTTGGTCTTTCAAGGTGCTGGGGCTGCAACGGTCCAGCCCTGTCCAACAGCTGTCCCCAGGGGTTGTCCTACATGGCAGAGGGACAGTGGGTAGACAAGTGGTAGCCCTGGGGGCCTGAGGCTGGGACCATCACCAGCAGCTAACAGAGCACCACCGCCTGCACAGTCCCCTTTCAGTGGCTGCCACTCAGCAGAGAGGGCAAGGCCCCACCTGCCGGCTTTTTGCCTTGACATCCTCACTCCTTAAGTCTTCTTGGTGATGGTTAGAGGACACACTGCCAGCTCCCATGTCTGCCTTTCCCTGGGGTACAGCTGGGGAGACCCCGGACATGAGGGTCGGGCCACAGAGTCTAGGCCCACAACCTTGAGCTTCTCAAAGGTCATCTCTCCAGGACCTTGCATTTACAGCTGCTGCGGCCCCAGCCACCTTTCCCACAGCTCCTGCCTCCCAACCTGCTGCTGTTGGAACTTCAAGGGACGCCACATCCCCCCCCCCATTCCTCCCTCCCCCACCACAGCTTTGAGCCACTTACTAAACCTCTGGAAGCTCCTGTGGGCAACCCTGGTGTCCTCTGCCCACGTATGTATTTGGTTGTCCCCGTAGGGGACAGTGAGGCAAGGGAGTGTGGAAATCACTGACCTTACAGTGCCAGTGGAAGTATCCATGGTCAACCTACCTTAGGGTGTGTGTGCGCCTATGTACATGCACATCTGCAGCGTATACACACTGTCCTGTGTGTGTAAGCAGTTCAGATAGATACACTGTGTAAGGCATGTGCACATGTGTACATGTTTAACTTGTAGATACATGTAGAGACAGTGTAATTATGTGAGCATACATGTACCATGTTTGTCTGTACACGCACACATAACTGTGTGTCATGTGTGTGCATGTATGCAGCACATATACCTGTGTGTATGTGTGCTCACATACCCATGTGTGCCATGCAGGAGAATGTGAGCATCCATGCCTCCTTGAATGTGTATGCATGTGTGCATGCCATGAATGTGCGTTGGTAGGCAATGTGTGTGCATGTTTACCTGTGTCTTATGTATTTGTGCACAGCCATGTGTATTTCCCTATGGGTGGAAGGAGGAGGTAGGGAGGGTCCCTGGAAGGGGGACTGGCTCAGCTATGGAGGCCAGTGTGCCCCAGCGGGGTCCAGGCTCCAGCATAGCCTTGCCTGCCCTGTGACCCAGCCCCCACCCTTTCCTGTCTGTTCTCAGAGGCCAGCAAGATCCCAGGCAGTCCCACAGTCTGGTCCACAGCCCCCACCTGCAATTGTGACCTTTCGAGATCTAGATGAGCCCCCGCCCCCCCAGACTGATGCCTGGGACTGGACTCTTTGGCCTGTTTAACAAAGTGGGGCTAACACCGGGCTGCTAAGCACACTGGGTGGTTAGACACCGAGTGTTGCGGCTCAGAGCTGTGGGAAGGGTTTGCAGGGAGGGCTCAGCTGGGCTCCAGACTCTCCTAGCACAGCCAGGTCTGGGATAACAGTGTGGGAAGAAAGACAGCCACGAGTCACAGGGTGACGCCTCCCCTTCCCGGACAAGGTTGGAAAGGTTGCTGCCTGGAACAGTCTCAGCTGCCATAGCTCCAGGATTGCAGCAATGTAGCTGGGAAATCCTGCACAGAAGAAAGAGAAAACCAGAGAGGTTGCTGCTTCTCTCAAGGTTGCACAGTACACCTGGGCTCAGAGGAGGCAAGGATGCTGGGATGCTGATTTTGCAGCCCAGTGGGTCCCAGATCTCTGAGTGCTAGTGAGACAGAGAAGGAAGGGAAGTGGCAAAGAGGACAGACAGACTGCCTACTGGGGGGGGGGGCAGCTACAGGGAGCTGAGCTGTGCAGGGAGAGCTGGGAATAGCCAGGAGTCTGGAAGGATGACTAAGGAGCAAGTAGAATTCCAAGATGGCCAAAGACTGGCTGCCCCAGGCCTCTTACTGTGTAACTGACCAGAAGCCGGAGAGTTCGGCTGTGAAGTGGGCCTAGGAACTGACTGGCAAAGGCACCACCTCTCGGAAAATGATGGACAAAGCTGCAGGCTATCAGCAAGGAACACACCTGTGCTGGTTCCCATGGTAAATGTGGCAGTGTGGGCGTAGGGGAAGGCTGTCAGGTTGCGTGTGGGGCATGGTCAAGACATCCAAGGACAGTGTGTCAACATCTGCAAAGTTCAGAGTTGGAAATTGAATCCCAGCACCACCAGTTGAGAGATGGGGTGAGAGGGTCAACTCCAGCAGCTGGGGTTACCAGTGGTTCAGAGACTCCCAAGAGCCTGCTCTTGGGGGGAATTGAGAGGGTTTGGGGCATGGCAGGGTCTTGGTTGCCAGGGCACAGTGAGGTGAGGCAGAGCCCCTTCCAGGGCCGGATAAGATAGACAGGAAATGACATGAACGGGCAGCCAGCTGAGCGGCAGGATGCAGAGGGTCTCAGTCACTTCCCTCTACACAGAGGTCGGACCTAGTGACGTCTCTTCTGCGCAGGTCTCTGTCCACCTCGACCAGCATATGGCTGGGGCTAGCACCAAGAAAATGCAGGAAATAGTTGGTGACTCACCCTGGGCATGAATGAATGAATGAACGAATGAATGAATGAATGAATGAGCAATCGAAGGAATCAATGGAAACGTCTTTATTATATTTGCTTATTTTATTTTATTATTTTATCTGTGTGTGTGTGTATGTGTGTGTGTGTGTGTGTGTGTGTGTGTGTGTGTGTGTGTGTGTGTGTGTGTGTGTCTGATCCATGTGGATAACTCTCAGTAGTCGGCTCTCCCACCATGAAGGTTCCAGGGATCAAACTCAGGTCCTCAGGATTGGCAGCAAGCGCCTTGACCCCCTGAGCCATATCACAAGCCCAATGAATGCTCTGTTCAGCCATTCTTGGTCTTTCACAGCTGGGCTGGAGAATGTTGGTACTGGTTTGAGGAATCGATCTCCATGTGGCTCCAGGACAGGGATAGGCTCCGGTCACACAGAGTAAAGACAGGGGTCTGCTTCACACCCAAAAATCTTACTGTCTCCTCCTCCCCATGTTCTATGAGGGTGACCTACAGGGGAGGAAGTGGAAATTGAAGAAGACAGGTGTCACACAGGATCACCCAGCCAGTGAAGGACAGGCATGAGATTCCCATTTGCACCCAAGTTCATTAACTTAAACACACATTTCTGGGCTGACAGAGTTCACTCGTTTACCTGCCGTTCACTGATTTACCTGCTCTCTCTCCTTCCTGCATGTGACAGGAATCCTCGGGGTCCTGCACCCCCGGCTATGCACTGCGTCCCTGCCAATGAAGGAAGGAATGGCCCCTTCTGTCACTCAGGACTCCATCCAACAAGGCTGGGCAAGGGAAGGTTGGGGTGCAGAGGGCTTCAGGGGCCTGCTGATTTCAGAGGTGCAAAGGTTTAGCAGGCACACTGTGGACAGAAGACAGAAAGTCATCTGAGGAGTGGAGGAGAGAAAATATCTGTCACAACCTTGACTAGAGCAGGCACCATGTTGGGCGGCTCCTTCTGTGAGAGCCTGGTCTGAGCTGTTTGCTAAATCCCTACAGAGGATGGAGACTTCAACCACATCGGATGGGATGTCCCTGTCATTCTAATTATGACCAGAGAGCTCAGGCAGGGAAGAGTTAGGGTTCCTCTGGTATAGGGGCTCCACTCCTGACCCTGAGTCTAACATCTTCAGAACAAAAACCCATTCAATGGCTGAGTAAGTCAGTCCTCCTGGGCCATGGTACCAACTGGAGGCATCTATCTTCCTTCCTGCCCCTTGCCTGCTCTGTGGGTTGGAAGAGGCCTCAAGCTTGGAATGGAGTGTTTAGTCAGGAGCCATTGAAGACACCTACCTGTCTAAGGGACCCATCTGCCCCCTAGGGAAGCTGCAGGCCAAGGCTGCAAGACCTTTAGAGTCTCCTGTTTTCTCTTTGAAGGGAGATTGGAGGTTTGAAGTCTTCTCTACAAGTGGCAGTGGGTCCTGAGGCACTGAGCTGGGAGCTACTCCTTCTGGGTGGTCTCCTTGTCACCTACAGGGCACAGGGCATCTTTTTCTACCAACTCCCTCTTTGGAAATAGAGCTCTTCCTCCTCAGTTCCGATGAGGCATCTGCTGCTAGGCTAAGTATTACATGTCCCAGCCTCTCTTGCAGCTAGGTGGAGTCATGCGATCAGATCTGATCAATGGGACCCAAGTGTCAACATATTCACCTTCCAGCTTGCCTTTAAAAGGAGAGGAGAGGGGCTGGAGAGATGGCTCAGCGGTTAAGAACCCTGGTTGTTCTTGCAGAAGACCTGGGTTCAAATCACAGCACCCACATGGCAGCTAACAACTGTCCGTAACTTCAGTCCCAGGGGATCTGACAGCCTCTTCTGACCTCCATGGGTATTACACAACACAGGTACACTCACCTACATGCAGGCAATACATGAATACGCATATAATAAATTAAATAAATAAATAAATAAATAAAATTAAAAGGAGAAGCTGGGCGTGGTGGCGCATGCCTTTAATCCCAGCACTTGGGAGGCAGAGGCAGGTGGATCTCTGTGAGTACAAGGCCAGCCTGGTCTACATAGTAAGTTCCAGGCCAGCTGGGGCTACAGGGAGACCCTGTCTCAAAAAGACCAAAAAAAATAAATAAAAAATTAAAAGGAGAAGAGACACAGTGACTTTAGGGGACTTGAAGCCTTGCCCTGTTTCCCCCAACACAAAAGTAAGAACAAGGGGGAGGTACTAGCCCTCTTTGACCCCAGGGATAGGGGGATGGTTTGGACAGGAGCCTGGGCCCTGAGCCTCCTTTCCCCTAGGCTGATCCGAAAAATCCTGTGACAAACAAAACCCAACTCTTCTCTCCTGAGACCACTGTCGCTTGGTTTCTGCTAGGAGTGTTGGGCCAGAGCATCCAAATTCAGCCCCTGAGGCTCAGAGTGAGGAGACCAAAGATGGCCTTGATCCCGTGACAATGCTGTGAGCCACTGAGCACAGCACTCCAGAGGTGGAGGCAGGAGGGTCAGGTGCTCAGGCCAGACCCAGCTACACAGTGCATTCGAGACCAGTGTTGGTTACTTGAGAGCCTGTCTAAATCAATCAGTTTGTCCATCCATCCATCCCACTGGGATGAGTCCACCACACTGTCCACAGCAGGTGATAGCTCATGGCAGGTGGTCAAGCAAGCAGCTGAGCAAATTGTCCAGTAGCCTGAGGCTGTCCCAGGGAGGGTCTAAGCCTGAAGAACTGATTTCTAAACCCTAAATGACATCCGGTGTCTCTGATGTGAGCTGCAAACCCCTCTGCTAATATTGTCATGCTCAGCATTGTGTCCTGGGGCTGGAGAGATGGCTCAGCAGTTAAGAGTGCTTGCTGCTCTTGCAGAGGTCCCAGTTTGGTTCCCAGCATGAGCATCAGGCAGCTCCCAACTTCTAGACTCCCTGGATCTGGATGCCCTTTGATCTGCGCAGGCACCTGCGTGCATGCATGGGGGGCAGGTGCATATAAACTCACACAGGTACACACACATACTTGTAATAAATATATATTTTTTTAATAAAATAAAGTTGAGTGCTGTGGTGCATGCCTTTAATCCCAGCATTCAGGAGGCAGAAGCAGGCAGATCTCTGTGAGATCAAAGCCAGCCTGGTCTACATAACGAGTTCCAGGCCAGCTGGGGCTACCCTGTCTCAAAAAAAAAAAAAAGAAGAAGAAATATAAAATAAAATGCCATCCTATGGGGCTAGAGAGATGACTCAGGGGTTAAGAGCACAGGCTGCTCTTGCAGAGAACCCAGGTTTGGTTTCCAGCACCCACATGGTAGCTAACAACTGTAATTCCAGTTCCAGGGGAATCAGACGCCCTCTTCTGACCTCCACAGGCACTGCATGACAGGAGTACTTACATACATGCAGACAGTACAGTCATACACATGAAACAAAAATAATTAAAAAAAAATTTTAATGTCATCCTATGCCCACTGTCACCGTTAACCCTGACCCTTTTCCAGGTCTCCATGGAGACAGGCTCATTGTCCTGTTTACTGGTGAGAAAACAGTCACTGCCGACATCACTCAGTGTGAGATGATGGCTGTGTAGTCCTTCTCCTTCCTTGTGCAATGCTTTTGTTGTATTCTGCAACCCGTTTTTTAAAAGTATTTGGAGGAGTGGAACATGAGGGGACACAGGACAGGCAGAGAGCTCTGTGACTGAGAGGTCTGCCAGTGACCTTGAAATACCCTTGAGATGCCCTGTCCTTTCCAGGTTCCTGCTCTAAGATAAGAACACTCCTTCCCTGGATTCTGCTTCTCTGCAGTCTGTTGACAGGAGGCACATGCTTCTCCTCAGCCCCCCGACACCAGTCCCAGTTCCCTTCCTAGGCTTCCTCTGAGACCCCACACTGCATAGACATGGGGATTCTGAGCCCAGCTGTGTCCCATAGCATGAAGGGGAGTCCCTCCACCCCCACCCCACCCCCACCTCCTTTGACTTTGCCCCCTGGGGGACGTCAGGTGGAGGCAAAGTGGGTATCACAAAGTGCAGCTCTCTCTCTCTTAGTTAGGCTTGTCTGTGGGTGACTCAAGTTCACCGATGAAGCTTAAATACAGCCTGTTCAGCTAACACTAGGCGCAGTGGCAACTGTTTATCATCAGTGAGGCAGGAGAGAAGATAGCTCAGAGGTTAATAGCACTTACTGCTGTCACAGAGGACCCGAGTTTGGTTCCTATCACCCATGTTAGGTAGCTCATAACTATGTGTAACTCCATCTGAAGCCTCTGGCCTCGGTGGGTACTGGTACTCATGGGCATATACCCCCTCCCCGCATAAATATAATTAAAAATAATAAATCTTGGGACTGGAGAGATGGCTCAATGGTTAAGAGCACTGACTGTTCTTGCAGAGGGCCCAGGTTCGGTTCCCAGCACCCACAGGGCGGCTAACAACCATCTGTAACACCAGTTCCAGGGGATCCAACGCCCTCTTCTGACCTCTGTGGACATTGTATGACGTGAGTGCACTTACATACATGAGGCAATACACTCATACACATAAAAATAATTAAAAATATTTTTTAAATCAGATGTCTTTTAAAAATAATACACACACAAAAAAGTTAACAGGCATTTCCAATTAACTGCAAAAAACAGTAATACATTTGGCTGTCCAGGACCTGTGGTGTTGACAGGAGAAAGGGCTGCGGCTTGATCTGGTCTCCCAGCATGCCTTTCTAGGCCTCATGGAGTATGAGTCTGAGCATGCCAGCCTTCCCCTCTGCTAACTTTTCCCCTCTGACCCACTTGACCAGATCAATTATATTATGAATGGAAAATACCAGAATCTCAGCATCGACTAAGACCCCAAGTTGGGGGTGGCGCCCCACAGCAGGGTCCTTGACCAGCATGTGCAGGGCCCCAAGCTCTATCTCCAGTATTTCAGGAGAGAAAATTAAAAGACCTGAGGCCAGTTAGTACACTTGCTATGCTTGCAGAGGACCCAGGTTTGGTTCCCAACACCCATGTCAGAAGGCTCACAATAGCCTGTAACTCCAGCTCCAGGGAATCTAATGCCCTTTTCTGGCCCATGGTCACCTAAATTCACTTGCACACACATTTACATTGTTAAAAATTTTAAAATACATCTTAAAAACAAAAGAGCTTCAAGTTGCCTCTGCTGATTCTCAGTTGTTTTCCTGAGGTACAGTTTTGTCCTCACACACCACCCTCCACTCTAGCCTGTCCTTGATTACCTCCTCAGATGGGGCACTCCCTACCTACAATGCTGCCCCATCTCTCTAGCTCAACCTCCCCTGGTTCTGCTCCTCAGTCCTTCCAGAACAGGCAGCCTCTTCATCTCAAGAGCAAGGCCACTAAACCAGTCTCTCCCCAATGGGAAGCCTCCTGGTTCCCTGACCAACTTCTCTCCTCCTGGAGCAGGGTAGAACGTGGTTCTGGGAAGCGCCCTGGCAGCAGGCCCCAGCCCTGCTCCTCCTGGCCCTGTCAATCAGCCTGGAGGATCTTTTCTTACCAGAACAGCAGCTGAGAAAGGCAAAGATTTGCCCGAAGTAAACACATCAAGTCCTTCGGCAAACACGCCTCCCTATAGATGGGGGCTCCAGAGACCCCGGGAAGGAGAGGCCTGCCGGATGCTACTGCTGTAGTCTGCTGCCTAATTTTGTGGTGAGCCCTGTGTATCTGATTTTTTTTAATTAATTTTATTCTCTGGCAATTTTTATATGTACATATAATATATTCCTGGCACACTTATCCCTCCCATTCTCTTACCCCCTCCCCCCTTACGTCTCCATCCTTCCTGACGTCCCCATCCTTCCTGACGTCCCTTCCTGCTACCAAACCCCCCTCCGCTTTCACTTTTTTTATGGTCTTTTGAGTCGGGGTCTTTTCTTTTCTTTTCTTTTTGGTCTTTCTGTAGCT